ATTGAACATAATGTCCTGACATGAAAAACAAAACAACTATTTTTATTTTATTCATCCATCCATATTTCCATCCATCCGTCTATCATTCCATCATCCCTCCATCGTTCCATCCATCCATCCATCCATCCATCCATCCATTATTCCGCCTATCGTTCCATCCGTCTATCATTCCACCATCCATCCATCCATCATTCCGCCTATTGTTTCATCTGTCTATCATTCCACCATCCATCTATCCATCCATCCGTCTATCATTCCATCATCCATCCATCGTTCCATCCATCCATCTGTCAATCATTCCATCATCCCTCCATCGTTCCATCCATCCATTATTCCACCTATCGTTCCATCAGTCTATCATTCCATCATCCATCCATCCATTATTCCACCTATCGTTCCATCAGTCTATCATTCCATCATCCATCCATCCATTATTCCACCTATCGTTCCATCAGTCTATCATTCCATCATCCATCCATCATTCCGCCTATCGTTCCATCTGTCTATCATTCCACCATCCATCTATCCATCCATCCATCCGTCTATCATTCCATCATCCATCCATTGTTCCATCCATCCATCTGTCTATCGTTCCATCATCCATCCATCCATCCATCCATCCATCTGCCTATCGTTTCATCTGTCTATCGCTCCATCCATCTATCTACCCATCCTTCCTTCCATCCGTCTATCGTTCCATCTGTCTATCATTCCGTCATCCATCCATCCATCCGCCTATCGTTTCATCTGTCTATCTACCCATCCATCCATCGTTCCATCTATCTATCTACCATCCTTCCATCCGTCCGTCTATTTGTCTATCATTCCATCCATCCGCCTATCGTTCCATCTGTCTATCGTTCCACCGTTCCATCTATCTATCTATCTATCTATCTATCTATCTATCTATCTATCTATCTATCTATCTATCTATCTATCTATCTATCTATCTATCTATCTATCTATCCTTCCATCTGTCCGTCTATCGTTCCATCTATCCATCCATCCATCATTCCGCCTATCGTTCCATCTGTCTATCCATCCATCCATCCATCTATCTGTCTATCTATCCATCCATCCATCATTCCGCCTATCGTTCCATCTGTCTATTGTTCCATCTGTCTATCCATCCATCCATCCATCCATCCATCCATCCATCCATCCATCCATCCATCTATCTATCTATGCATCCATCCATCTCTTTCCATCCATCCATCTATCGTTCCTATCCATCCATTCATCTATCTTTCGTTCCATCCATCTATCCATATATCGTTCCATCTATCTATCCATATATCTGTTGTTCCATCCATCTGTCCGTCCATCCATCCATCCCTATAATTATAAATAACTTAAACCAAAAAAGAGAAAATAGAATAGACCTCCTCTATATTTGTCCTGCAAATACTAGATCAACTGCAATTCTCAGATATTTCAGCAGATAATTTCATTTCATTTCATTATAACTTGATCTGATGATGAAATGAGCCACATCCGTTCAACTAACCTCTCTGTCACTTTTCCACCATCAGTGTCTCTTTACTGAATAAGACACATTTATCAGAATAGACACAATCACAAATGGTGCAAATGACTGAACTATAGACTTAACCTCTAACTCTGCTCCAAATGCTTGCACTGAGTGCTGGACTCGTCTCTGGCCGCACAGCAATCTCATCAATATCAATCGAGAGGCAATAGAAATGACTGATGGCTGCATCTGGCTCACAGGCCGGCAGCTGAAGAGCCCGGAGACTAACACTGTTGGGCTCACTAATTTAACATAAAAAGATTCCGCAAGAAAGAAAAATCACAAATGGGATCTCTTTAAAGGAGTTATAACACAAGAAATCCAATTTTTCTTAAACCTTTGAGGTAGAAGAGTTCAACAGTGTAACTTCGAGAGCTCAAAACTTCTCCAGTCTGAAAGCAACATTTATTGAAGCCCAGCTGCAAAATCAAATTTGGAAGAAAGTCTGAAATAGTATTTTCTTGTGAAACATGCTCCAAAAATCTTTGTTTTAATTACATTTCTTGTAGTTCCCTGTGCATTTAAAGCTTTGGTAGTAAAACTAGAGCAACTAAAAATTTGAGCAAAACAACGTTTTCATTCTTGGGCATTTTACTAACGTTACCCTGTTTTCTAGCTAAACCATCTCATCTCTCTAACTATCTATTGTTCCATCTTATCTATCTATCTATCTATCTATCTATCTATCTATCTATCTATCTATCTATCTATCTATCTATCTATCTATCTATCTATCTATCTATCTATCTATCTATCTAATCCATCTTATCCATCCATCCATCACTAAAAATATAAATAACTAAAAAAAGAGAGAAAACCGTATAGACCTCTATCTTTGTCCTGCAAATACTAGCTCAAGTGAAATTCTCAGATATTTCAGCAGATAATTTCATTTAATTATAACTTGACCCGATGATAAAATGAGCTACATCCGTTCAACTAACTTCTCTGTCAAAAAACTCAATGTAAAACATACAACATTAAGTTATGATTGTTTTTAGAGCCTGAGTATGTTTTTAGAGCAAATCAATTCATTATCATTGATTTTAGAGCACATGACCCCAAAATTTTGATTTTGAGTCGCAAGTGTCAAATTCACCCATGACCAAATGATCTCATCAATGTGATCCATTTTAATTGTATGTCTCTACACTCTTACAGGATTTAAGGAGAACAACCTGAAACAAAGTTGATGGGTAAATGAAATAAATAAGAACTCAATTAAGTCTCCTGAGCAATAAAAGTGCAATTCCTGACTATTTTACCTCTGTCAGCAAGTCAAGAGGTCAGACCTATCAAATGCATGGTCGTATGGCGCAGGTAACCTCCCGTTTCCCCTCTCAAAGGTCCGGCTGAACTGAGCAGAAACAGTCAGGAGCTTTATTTGAGCTTCTGAATCAAGACCACAACAAACTGCGAGACTCTGTAAGAGCCCTTCACTCAAGTGCCTATTAAACAAAACAGTGGCACTCTGTCATCCTGAATGCCAGGCTTGACTGAAACAATACATTACACGCGCCCGAGAATTACCCAATTGCAAAGATAAATGACACTGTTTTGAAACAACAAAAAGGAAGACAGACAGCGATACAAGAAACAAACAGAGAGCAGACAGAACGGGTGAGGAGAAACTCTCAGTGCATCAAGAGCAGTTCGGCTGTTTTCACACTCGAGCGTCTGCTGCCGACCCGACTTCATATGACGTCACAATTTGATTGGTTTGATCAATGGGGCAGAACGCTCAAATATACCTTATCAACCCCTAAAGGATGCATATTAGTACTTTAAATTAATAGTTCATGCAAAAGTGAGAGTTCTGTCATTATTCACCCTCATGTCGTTCCAAACCTGTGTGACTTTTTTCTCCGGAACACAAAACAAGATATTCTGAAAAACGTTTGGGTCAGTATTGTTATTGTTAACTAAAACTATTAGAGTGCAACAGTTGGGTTTCGGAAGTAAAAACTCAATTTTCCCCATAGGGAAATTGATTTTGAATGATAACTTATAAACCTTTAAAAGAACCTTACTGTGAGCTGTGAGGCTGTTAATCAATGGTATTTGCTTCTGTTAAAGATGTCAGCCTGCATTTTTTTCAATGTAGTTTTAAAATAATAGTGTTTAACAGCGGAAATCATGGTTGAAAAACTACATTACCCATAATGCTGTACGGAAAATTCCACCAATCAGAGTCGAAACAAGCAAAAAGCAGCAAAAGATCTCGTTAGCTCCGCCCACTCCCATGAAGCACCACAAATTATGTAATCAAGTAGATCTCCCTACTTTCAAAATACTCAAATATATATATATATATATATAAAATAATCAATATTTTTAAATATAGTAGTAGTTTCATATTTTTTCCGTCATTTTTAAATAATGCTTCATGGGATTTTAGTTCTTTCAACCACTAAAGCTGTTAAGTACATGGTCTTGTACTTTAGTATTTTTGTCTGATTTTCAAATACTTTTTTTTGCTTCAAATCAAAGTTTGTAATGTTATGATTCACCTTGTAGCTGGTTGACTTGGTTCATGGCTTATAATGCTTTAATCAAGACTTTAATTCCAATGGGAGAAATGAATGGAAAAAAATACTTCCCGAAACCAACGCCGCTGAAAAAGTGGGTGGCGCTGTTGCATGCAATTGTACATTTTTCAATGTCAAATTTGTCTATTGTGTTTCACACAAGACAGTCAGTCATGCAAGTTTGGAACGGCATGAAGCAATGAAGACAGAACCCTCATTTTTTTCCTAAAAGTACCTTAAAGTGAAATCAATAAAGCACAATTTGAGGCATTATAATAAAACCTTCTTTTTGATGCTTGTTCAAAATTGACAACTTGCATCTGCAACAGACGTGTTTACGATGGTATGACACAAATTGCACTGTGAATCATAGCCAAATAATACAAAGTGGAAAGTGACCTGTAGAGGAATTCAGACCAAACTACTCGCACACAAACAAAACATTTCGTATAGGATATCATTTAAAACTATTTTCACTCAGAAATATCACAAATAATTACAAAGAAATGGAAAGTAACACGTTGAATTAAACGTGAAATTCTGAAGAAAGTCTGAAATAGTATTTTCTTGTGAAACATGCTCCAACAATCAGTGCTTTATTTACTTTCTTGCAATTCCCTGTGCATTTTAAGCAATGTTTTCGATCTTAGACCCTGTTTTCTAGCTAAAATGGCAAAAAAAAACTGCAGCTAGGGCACTAGTGCGCAAATCCACTGCGAATTGTAGCCAAATAACACAATGTGAAACGAGATCATAGCGAGAAATTAAACTCCAGTTCAGACTAAACAATTAAACCAAGTGTGAAAACAGCCATCGAGTGCAGAAACACACCTGAAGTCCCAGACGTACGGTTCAAGACAGTCAGACACGCAAATGGGCGGCACGAAACAGGCAAGAATCACATGACACATGCAGGGGGCCAGTGCACTTCCCATACTGACCTTCAGGTCCCTGTGCACAATGTCATGATGGTGAATGTGACTGACACTCTCTAGAATCTGATGGATACAATGACTGTAAAGACAAGCGAGAGAGGAGAGGACAGACAGGAAACAAGAAGAAAAAGAATCGATGAGGGAAGAGAGCCGTGAAGGAGGTGGTGAATTAGTCACGGGGAGACGAGCGCGGGACAGGAACAACACAGATAAGAGAGACCGTTTGATATGATTGTATGGAGAGGGTGATGAAATGAGACGAGTGATAACGGTGAAAGACCTGATGTTACACGGCGCAGAACAATAGAAGCAGTCAGGCGGGGACGCATCATTTCCTGTGAGGGCGCTGTGCCGATGACGCTCACATGTGGGATGGAGAAATGGAGGGAAGGGTGGATGAATCAAACAGAGTAGAGCTGGAAATATGGAAATGATCTGTGTGTGTGTGTGTGTCTGGATGTTTAAGAGTGTATCAACTGTTTTCTGAAATGCTTACGGTGTTTTCCTCACACACATCTAACACAGGCCTCATTAATAAGGATGGTCTGCAGTGTGAGAGCGTTTCGGGACCGTTGGGAGAAAAGTCACTCGTCCTTTTAGGCCAGCGCCGCACTGCCACTCAAAATCTTACATTCTTTATGTGTGCAAAAAACAAGACTGACACGGAAGAGAAGAAATTGTTGAATAAAGTCATTATTTTAGTTTATTTGCACACAAAAAGTATTCTCGTCACTTCATAACATTAAGGTCGAACCACTGTAGTCACATGGACTATTTTAACGGTGTCTTTACTACCTTTCTGGGCCTTGAAATTTGCAATGACGTTGCTGGGTGGTTCAGAAACCTCTTCGATTTCTTCAAAAATATCTTAATTTGTATTCCAAAGATCAACAAAAGTCTTACGGGTTTGGAACGACATGAGGGTGAGTGATTACTGCCAGATTTTTTTAATTTTTGGGTGAACTAAGCCTTTAACGGTTTAGTTTTCTGTGATGTAATGATGTTTTATCACTCAAATAATGTAGCCGAATAAAAGATTCTGAAGTCGTCAACACGGAAAAAAAAAGAAAAAGAAAAGAGTTTAAAAGTTTAGAAAACTGCAAACTAATCAGCAATGTTGTAAGTCTTTCTTTTTGTAAAACACATGTTTTTGTAAAGAAAATTTTAAAAATACCTTTATAATAAATTTAAAATAAATAAATAGCCAATATAAAAACATACAATATGGTTCAAAAGTTCGGGGTCAGTGAGATTAAAATAAAATAAATAAGAAAAAATAAATTAATACTTTTATTCAGCAAGGATGCATTAAATTGACCAAAAGTGTCAGTAAAGACATTTATAAAGTTACAAAATATTATATTTCAACTAAATGTTCCATTCATAAAAAAATCATGTTTTCACGGAAATATTAAGCAGCACAACTGTTTTCAACATAAACTGTTAAGTGTCTGTCAGGGATTTCTAGTGCTCTTGAAACAGATCGAGCTCAGATGAAGCCAGTGTGCGGGTTCATGTGGCGCTGTGCTGGAGAGGGCTGAATATGAGCCGACACTGTCATTATGTGTGTGAATTAGAGGCCTACTTTCAGACACTGCTCTAGTGGAGGCAGGTGGAGGGGCTACGGCCCTCCGGAAGGATACATTTCATCGTCTTGACGGTGGATGGGCGGCATCGTGACACGTTTCTACCCACGAATATGGCGGATGAGCTCACTGAGCCCTGTAGTCTCATCACTCGCCAGCTCTTGTGTTTGCTCCCTCGGTAAGCATCTCTCGTTCTCTTTCCGTTTCTCGCCGCATCTCTCACTCCCACATGCTTTCCCACACAGTCAAATTGATTAAAGCTTTTTTCCTGAGGGCGACTGCAGTGTGTGTGTGTGTGTGTCGTTGTGTGTGACTGTGAGAAGATCTGAAACAGGAATAGATGGAACGGGGGAAAAAAATGAAGCCGATGGGAAAACTGGAGGAAAGGGATCTGCAGACGCACGGAGAGAGCGAGACACTGCCTCAAACATTTAAAAAACTCATTTATCACTCACATGATGTGGACGAAAGTATTACTCCCATATTATACTCGAATGTGTACAAAGTACATACGTTTGTCCAGATAAAACGAGAGTGAAAGAGGAAAACAGAAATGTGGATGGAGAGGAAATGGTCGTGGGAGGGTCTGGACTGGATAACAGAAAATGGAGATGCTGTTTTACCTGGCGTCAGCTTCACTGTAATATTCTCTGGCTACAATGTCTTCAAACAGCTCTCCACCCGTCACACTGCAGGACAGAGAGAAGATATCGGCACCACGGTCACCATAATCACATGCAAATTTATTCTGTAATTCTTCAACTTCAGTGTGGTGTGCTTTACACTGGCATCGCAAAAACTGCGCATTCATATTGCAAAACACTTGCTGGGTGTAATGGGTTCAATGAAATTAAATCATATAAATAAAAAAAATAGGAAAATAGGAATGCAAACAAAATGACACAATTGAATATATATTATTAAATAAAATATTAAATAAAATAAAATAATACAATAAATGTAAAAAATGTTAAATAAAATATTTTAAATTGAATAAACTAATAATAATACAAATGTTTTAAATATTTTTGAAAATAAAATAAAAATGAAATCATGTAGTAGCAAATGTACAAAAACGAATAAATTTAAAAAAATTTTTTTTTTTTTTTTACTACTACTAACATAAGAAAAATGTTTTCTCCTATGCTAGGTTAGGTTGGGTCAGGTTGATTTATTTGAAGTGTAAATAGCCCGACAGAGCAACACCTGGCTCAACCTTGGCATGATTTTGAATTGCTCTGCAGAACTTACATACTTCACAATTGCAACAGTAAATTACGTAAAAATAAAAAAAAAGAATAAATGAAGACACAGCATTTATTCAACAAGCACAGTTAAATAGGACAAACTAAAGACAGCTGTAATATTAATTTACAGACATGCATGTGTGTGCATGGTTGCGTATGACAGGAAAAGAAAGCGAGAGAGTATGGATGGGGGAATCCTCTAGAAGAGAGATCACTGGGGCTTCGGGGGGGAAACCCCTGATGCAGGATTTCTCTTCGACTGGGCAGCCCGGCTCTGTTGCTATGGAAACTGGCTCTCGAGTGAGAGAGAGAGAGAGAGAGAGAGAGAGAGAGGGATGCTATGGGGAAGGTAGAGTGGGTGGGCGTCTGTTGAAGCACACTGAGCAAAAACAAAGCAGAGAGAAAGAGATATTATGCACATTATATGGAAACACTTACAGGTCAAATAAGAGGTAATGGAAGCCTTCCTCTGATATACTGTCATGGAGCCGCACTGCATTAAAGAAGAAGAGAGTCATTATATCATCAAATACTTTCATTTGCCATTCACTCACAGCACAACTCAAAGAGCAGATTATGAAATGAAATTAACTCTTTCCCGGCCATTGACAGAATTTTACACTGTTATACGGTAGGGGGCGCTATTACAGATCTCCTGATCAAAATACAGGCGAAGAAGAAGCAGAAACAAGCGATATCATATGCAAGCATATGCATAAGTAAAATAATGAGATCATCAACATTAAAGGGGTGGTTGATTATGATTTCACTTTTCTAACTTTAGTTAGCGCAGGGGTCTCAAACTCAACTTAACTGGGGCCGCTGGAGGTAGAGTCGGGGTCAGGCTGGGCCGCATCAAGTATTCCACAAAAAAATAGTATTCAAGTATTCCAAGAAAGGAGCACAACTGATCCAATCTTCTCAATCTTTATTATTAACGTTTCTTCTGAACTGTTCCTCTGAATTTGAACATTCCTTTCTGTACATGATTGGTTCTTCATGAGCTGTCCCAGAGACTAAAAGGACTTTGGCTGTCCCTCTGACAGTTGAAGTTCATTTTTACAAATTCTTTTCCTTTTCCTTATAACACATCTTTGTGATACTTATATTTGCTCATGTCCTTTTTATTTTCAATGATATTGAATGTTTTTTTTTGGAAGGCACATTTCCTTATATTATACTTCGAAAAACAATTATTGCTTTTGAAATACAAATATTTGCAGTCATGTCTGCCCGTCTTATTGAATTATTTCTACACATGTATAGTGTCTCAGGCAAATTACAGACTTTGCACAAATCAAAGCAAACCTTCTTATCAACCTGTTGGACACATATTACAAGCTCAAAATGATTATTCTCACATTGTTTTAGAGCAGGGGTCTCCAACACGTCGCTTGCGAGCTACCAGTAGCTCGTGGCCTGATTGGTGGTAGCTCCCCAAGGGTCCTGGTCACATATCGCGCTCACATATTTTGCGCGCTCAAGTTCGTTATTTCAAATGTAGGCGCGGCAAGCGCGCTCATAATTGAAGCGGCGCGCTCATTTTTTTTCCAGACGCAGTATGTTTGTACTTCGCGGTTGTCTATGACAACTATTGACAACAAACCCGTAAGCTGTCACGAGACAATCTATGGTAGCCCATAAGGGATAAAAAAAAAAAAAAAAAACGCGGCACCCGCAACGACGGGCCGCACTAACATTAAACTTTAATGTCAAGTAGGGGGCCACAAAATATCACCCCGCGGGCCGCGAGTTTGAGACCACTGAGTTAGCGTGTAATGTTGCTGTTTGACCATAAACAACATCTGCAAAGTTACGACGCTCAAAGTTCAATGCAAAGGGAGATATTTGCTTTTAAAGGAATTGCTTTTTAAGGACTACAACAAACGGCTGGTAGGGACTACGCGACATTCCTTCTGGGTTAGTGACATCACTAACCCTAAAATTTACATAAACCCTGACCCTGGAACATGATTTATAGATTATCAAGACAGAATATGCTAATCAATGACTATTAGATAGTCCTCATCTAACCATTCAGAAATGTTGTCTACATGTTGTCACTTCTTCTTAAGTCTCTCCATCTTTGTCTGACTCCGGTTCGAACATAAAAGGCTAAAAGTTTTGGATATTTTCAGTGCATGTCTGTGTGAGGTAACTGAAGCTGCTAAGAACTGCTAGCTCCGCCCCCTGTGCCGGGAGCAGCAGCTCATTTGCATTTAAAGGGACAGACACAAAAACGATGCGTTTTTGCTCACCCTCAAAAAGTGACAATTTTAACATGCTATATAAAAATATCTGTGGGGTATTTTGAGCTAAAACTTCACATACACACTGTGGGGACATCAGAGACTTATTTTACATCTTGTGAAAAGGCCATTATACTACACCTTTAAACAGCATATAAATCAAAACTGCCTAATGTTACTGAATGAAATGTCGACCCAGGACGAGCTATAGGACTGTGCAGCTTTGATGGACTCGATCTACTCCATCTGTGTTTTGATCATCGTTCTGAATCCAATCTGGATGGTCTTTGACAAAAACTCGATTTTCTCAGCTTTTTGCTCAAAATGTTGCTTTTTTATGAAACTTACCCACATTCAAGTGTTGATAAAAAGGAAGGTATAAAGCAAGAATAAAACAGATTTTGTTTATTTAAAAGCAGAGTCTCTGTTCTTTCTTTTGAAATATTGCATATTCAGATATTCATACCACAAAATATTCTGGGGGCCATGAAACTTTGGTGAAAATGATCAAAAACGCTGGCGGGGAAAGAGTTAACAGGAAAGCTTTCTATATCACTGTCCCTCGAGCTCATTTTGTCATGAGTGGAGAAGTTCAGGTACATCTTTGACGCTAACTTTAATGGCCGATGCCTCAGACTCACCGATATTGGGATGCTTGAGCAGACGGCAGATGCGGGCTTCCCGTTCCAGCTTCTGGTGATCTGGGAAAACAATTGGATCGATAATGTTATGGAGAAATTGCAGATTGATTAAATGTGCAGTGCATTTTTTTTTAATGTAAACAAAAAGTAATTTAACCAATGAATAGATTCCACAAATCTTTTGTGGAATTTAATCATTTTGTGGAAGTTTAGCCTCTATGAAACTATGCTAATTTCACATAAATTTTAGTTAAAGGGATAGTTCACCCAAAAATCGAATTGAAAGTTGTTTAAAACATTTATGAGTTTCTTTCTTCTGTTGAAGATATTTTGAAGAATATGGGTAACCAGACAGTTGACAGTAGCCATTGACTTCCATAGTATAGAGAAATAAATACTATGAAAGTCAATGGGATTCATCAACTGTTTGGCTACCGACATTATGAGTAAATGATGACATAATTTTAATTTTTTGGGTGAACTATCCCTTTAACCTCAACATCAAGCTGTTAACTAACCAACATATGCCAGATTACTGAGTATGATTGACTAATTCCTACTCTACATTCTCAACTGACCCCAAAAAACGTGACAATCATCCCATTACAGCAGATCAGGGTGATTAACGAAAAGTAAAACTTGAACCGTAAAAAAATAATAATAACTTGAAACTATTTTAACAATAACTAATATAAAATAAAACATTAAAAAATAACGCTGGAGATTCTGCAGACCGTGAGAAAATCACGCTGATGCAAATATACCATGCTGAAATGTCTAATTATCGTGCTGAAACAGTAAGTTGCCACTATTTTATCTACCGATCGTGACAAGTGGTTATCATCATTATTTTTTCCCGCCCACACATGCTTTTTACATCAGCGGAAAAGTCGTTTCAGAGGCGGAGAAAGTCCTTGCATTATGCTGAAAGAATATGAAAATGAACGAAACCTGCACAATAAGACCATGAATATTTATAAACAATAAGACTACTTATACTTATCAAGGGCCAGCGCCTCACCCGGACTATCCTGACCTAACAATCAAGATTAAAGTGCACAGGCTTTCTAGTCTACTTTCATTGGCTACTATAGCAACATTTAAGTTATGGATGGCCTGTTTAACCTAAAAACTTTCCACGCAGATCTACGGAGTAGGCTAAAAATATGTTTGTTTTTTAGGTATATGTTTATATGGCCCTGTAATACACCTGATATTGAGATGTGTTTTGGTCGATTGGATCACAAGTAGACGAGGGAAAAACATTCCCACCTAGTGTTTTAATCCGTCTCTTCTGTCCACTTTCAAGCACTTCTGTCCTGATTTCTTCGAGGGGAGGGTCTATTGACGGGTAAATGACTGGGCTTTTTCAGATCTTTCAATCTAATGGACAAAATAAGCTCACGCAATTTACATATGAACACGCCTGGAGACGACAGAAAAACACACGGAGAGAATCAGCTTTAGTTTCTGCTCTGAGCCGCGAGACCAGCCGAACGCTGTGAGTGTGTGTGTTAGAAATCAGGAATGGAGAGAACATTGTGCTTGGTACGTTTTTCCTCTTCAAACCAAACTTGAGTCTCCAGCCGATAAAGTTTAAACCCCGTCTGGCTAGAGCTCTTCCCATAATGTTCCCTCATGAGGACAGTAGACGGAGAGAAGACGGTGTTTAGTGGCTGTTTGAACACACTCGACCACATGAGCGTTTACACTACGAAAGCAATACAGGTTTAATGCGTTTTCGACTACCGGAAGTGGTGGAAAGTTGTCAAGCTCAAGGTGTTTTAGACCCCGTTTACACCTGTATTTAGCATCCTATGTTTAGAAGGCTAGATAATTGGTTGTAGTTAGTTGATCATTTCATTGTATTGTTATTGTTTGTCACCTATTGCAGTTTAAGCGGTTTATAACTTCCTATAAAATTATACATCTGTTAAAAGGGTCGCGATAAGTGTGTGTTAAGTGCTAGTGTAGCACTCGCAATGAGAGCGTGTTTTATAATAAAGCAGACACAATTACTTTTGGTGGTGGTGCGATCATGATAACTCTGTATTCATAGTAAAACCACTGATATTGTGTATCAGATTTATATCTGATGGTCTAAAATGTGCTTATTTCACTGATTTTCGAATATGTTGGCCGTGGCAATTTTCCTTTTTGTTTTATGAAATAATATTAATTAATGCTCTGCCATCTGTATTGCTCAGTAGCTTTTAGTTTAATAGTTGTAGTAGTGACAGGTTTGTTTACAGTCTGACAAATACGTAAATAGGCCACATGTTTTCTAGTTTGGGATACTTTGTTACATCGTCGCACCCTTTCGTTTCTTCAGTGCTCTGCTAGTGACTAGCAGTACTTCATATTGTTACTTATTGTAAACTGGGTCAATTTTGCATTTATATTGTGAAAAGTGGCGTGAAAAGTGTTGTATCAGAAAGCAGACACACTTATTCGCTCATATAATGCAAGATATAGAGTATCATCCAAAGGTTTGGGGTTAGTAAGCATTTATTTTAAAAATGTAACAATTTCTTGTCAATTTTGAAAGTAGTTGAGCTGCTTAAAATTACAGTGATACATTTTTACAAGATTCTTTGACAAATAGAATGTTCAAAAGAACCGCATTTATTTGAAATGGAACATTATAAATTAGGGCTGTGTATTGGCAAGAATCTGGCGATACGATACGTATCGCGATACATGGGTCACGATTCAATATATTGCGATATATTTCGATACTGTGCAAAAGGCGATATATTACGATTTTTTTAAAGTAGGACTACAATTTTAGAAAGTATTATTTAAAAAAAAAGACATGATGTGCATAAAATTCAAACAAGTTTACTTTAGATCAGTGTTTCTCAACCTCTCCTGCAGGGACCCCCTGACAGGCCATGTTTCTGTTTTAACCCTGAAATGGCACACCTGATTCAAGTCATTAAAGGCTTAATGAGTAGTTGACTAATTGATTAATTGAACTATTCCTACTCTAATTACTCATTAAGCCTTTAATTACTTGAATCAGGTGTGCCATTTCAGAGTTAAAACAAAAACATGGCCTGTCAGGGGGTCCCTGCAGGAGAGGTTGAGAAACACTGCTTTAGATAAACAATTCAGTACACAGAAAATCAAACTGCCAGTTTGGGATTGTGGTTCACAGGTTCTTAGTGAGCAAATTTGTATATGCTCAAGTAGGCCTTAATAAAAGAAAATACATAGCCCCTGTCACAATACATAACATACACACATGTGTGCAATCTGAAAAAAGAAAAGACATCTGTCTATGTCAATAAAAATAAATAAATGCTTGCACTATTCCTAGTACACAGGGTACATCCAACACGTTTTGTGTTGCAAAAACACGAACACAATTCAAGTCAAGTCAAGTATATTTATATAGCGCTTTTCACAATTGTATCAAAGCTTCACAGTATAAATCAAAATAACATAACAATGTTTGTTTCTTAGTGGAAAAAACATCCACGTTAGGTAGGGCTGATCAATGGTATTAATGATTGGTTAATTAATTTGAATATCCCCAATTCCTAAAGGAAACATTGAGGAACAAATATATAAATAGTCAGTTAAAGAAAATACATAGCCCCTTACTGTGACATCTAGGCTAATGCATAACACAAAAGGTGCAATCTGAGGGGCAATCTGTCATTAAAAAAATGCTTGCACTATTATTCATACAGGGTACATCCAACACATACCGTAAAACTTCAAATAATAGCGAGTCCCATATAGACGCCGGTCTCTTTTACACGCCTGATGTGGCGAGTGGCGACAGGTTTGGGTAAATAAACGCCAGTCTCAAATAGAGGCGGGGTCTGTTTTTTAGTTTCGGGTTGTATTTAATCTTTTAAAACCCGTCAAATCGTCCGCTTTTTAGCGGCTGCCAAAACAAATTTGTGTCCCGCCAAAGCCTTTTTTTATCGGTGAGTGATGTAGAATAGAAAGACTGCTGCGCTTGACAGGACGCAAACGAGCAGAGAGAGAGAGAGAGAGACAGAGAGACAGAGAGAGAGCGCCCCGGCCGCGCGCGCGGTACTGATCCACTTTTGCGACACGACTGAAGCGTGGTGTCGCACGCCTCTCCACATTTGTAAGTTGATGGGCGTTCCTCAAGTTTACCGCTATGGGCGTGGTTTTGACCCAGCGGCCAGTCTAGAACAAAGGCCCCTCGAGAGACTACTTCTATTGGATAGACGCGTCGCGTTTGGCGGATTCATTTGCATAAAGCTGGGCATCGGCCAGCTTTTTGACTCGCAGCATTTTTCCAAATGAAGCGCCGCCTTCCCGGGATGCTTTGCGGGCGCGTTAAAGTCGCGTGACGTCACCCATAGGAATAAAGTGGAGTGCGACGCGACTGAAGTGCCGCACGGACAAGTGGATCCTTCAAACAACACGCGCGCTGTCTTGCTCTCTCTCCCTCGCGCATATTAATCAAAATCATAGACACTGTAGGCGAGGACACTAGTGGTGCGTCTCATTCTAGCCATCTAGTGGTAGGGATTTAAACACAACATAAACGCGAACCACGGCAATAGTATGAATATTTTTGCACGTAAACTAAAAAAAAAATCGATATTGCGTTTTTGAAAATCGATACAGTATTGCAAAATAAAATATCGCGATACTCAAGTGTATCGATTTTTTCTTACACCCCTATTATAAATGTCTTTAAATGTCACTTTTGATCAATTTAATGTGTCCTTGCTTAATAAAAAGTATTCAATTCTTTAATAGAAAAAAAATACTTACTCCAAACTTTTTGTGCATTTCGTAGATGGAACAATCAAACACAAAATGGCACCAATATCTTGAAAATAACTAATTTCAGTTGTCATGGCAGGATGAACGCATGATGTTTGATGTGAAAATAGATCAATAATTCATTTCAAATCTTTTGAACAAAGCTTTTTTTATAGTTCTGAAGGGCAGTGACGGTTGTTTTCCTGCAGTCAAACAGTTCCTGCTCCATTCGCATTGGTTAAACCCTTTTAAAGTGCGCATTTAAAGCGGTCTGTACATCACTTCAAACATGGCAGCAAAGG